TTTTTTTTTTTCCTTTTTTTTTTTTTTTTTTTTTTTACTTTTTAGTTAAAAAATGACATATTGTTTTTAATTTATTTTCTGTTTTTAAGGAGTTGTACAAGAAACAGAGAAAGTATTAAAAAAAAAATCTTGTACAAATATTAGAAAATAAAAGACTCATTTTTCTTGTTACAAAAAATACGGTCCAATTAAAAAGTAAAAATAAAAACACAAGTAATAGTCCCAACATCCTCGAGAAAAATATTCTTGCTTAACTATATATAATACATTTCAATTGTATTTATCCTTAAATTTTAATGAATTGAGTTCATAATGTTTTTAAAACTTAATTAATTATAATATTCAATTTACTTAAAACATAAAAGGCTTCGCACATAAAACAAAAGATTGAAATATAATTCAAATAGTTAAATATTTGGTCAATGAAAAAAAAATACAATATAAAACAAGTGGTATAAGCATAAATTCACTTGGGCATAAGTGCTTATATGAACTCATTAATAAAATTAGTCACAATTAACTAAATCGATCAATATATATTCGATCCTTACGATATTTGACATTTATCTAATAAGAATTTTATTAACTCGTATTACAAGATTAAAAAAAATTATAAACAAGTTTGGATATATGGAAACCTCAATTAAAATAAATAAATTTGAATTCATGATGTAACAATAAATAAAATATTAACAATGAGCAAAAACTTATAACTATTGTTTCAAACACAGTATTATAAACAACTTAACAATGTAAAAAATTTATATTTGATAAAATAGTATATATCATACATGCAAGGTATTTATAAATATATGATAATGTAAAATGCTAGATAAGGGAAGCTCAATAAAAATTTGAAGAAAAAAATACAATTAAAGCAATTCCCGGGAGAATTGAAAATCATTTAATGAGGACATTTACTAAAATTCAACCTTATCTAGTATATTTTTTTTATAATTACATTATTAGTATAAAGTACTTATTAAAATTGTTAGTAATTAATATACGTTAAAAAATCATACCCATTATCTTAAATATGATCGTAATATTCAATCATATTTTTCTATTTACAATACTCAAATCTAAAAAAAGATTAAAAAAATTAAGCATAATTTCAATTGAATCAACCATTTATTATTACCAACCTTACATATATCTTTCTAAATACTAACATCTCCAAACATATCATATGATAACAAAAGCACATAATAATAATATATGACACTAAAATATCTATAAATTTTAAAACGTGTTAAATTCGCCCATTAACTAATTCAATATATCAACATCAATATTAATTTTTATTTTTTTCCTATTAAATTAGTCATTCATTTATTTGTTATTTTAGACAAATAAAAAAGTATCGATTATTTTTAATATATTCGATTTTGCTATCTAGAATAAGTGAAATGAGAAAGCAGATTAATGGAGTGGAAAATAATATAGTCAAATATAACTATATTTTCTTAGAATTAAGGGTACAATTGAATGTTTTATTAATCTTTATGAAATAAAAATTCAAAAAGTCATATTTTAAAATGAAAATAGTGTATGACAAGAAGTTGTGAAGAATTTGAAGGTAAATAACCGTAGCTGGAGAATAATAGTTATATCATTTTACTATTTATCTATAAATTTATAATTACAAAATATAAAATTTTCCTTTCTCAAAGATATTTTGTGCAGCTAAATTTTAATTCATGTGCAAATTAGTTCCCAAAATTATATTAACTAGTTCACAAGAGTATTTTATTAAAATTATGCAACTTATTGCTAATAACTTTCATTCTTTTTTAGAATAACTTGTGCAGGCAGACAAAGACTCTCGAAAATCCAAAATAATACAAGTAAGTTTAGAAGAAGAAAAAAATTTATTATCGAGTTCAGTTCAATATTGATTAAGTAAAATTATAAATTTATTAATATCAACTTCAATTAACTGCCAGAATAGTATCTAAACAAGTTTTTTTTTTTTTTAGATTAATTATTAAAAAAATTTGATAAATATTTTACTTATAAAGAAAAAAAGGTGAAGGTCTTAGACCAATTACTTGAATATTGAGTTTTTTTTTTTGACTTGTGAAGTAAAAAGTGAATCTAAGGAGACCTTGTTTCAAACCGAAGGACCGCATCGCATACCATTGTTGATTTCGTACACACTATTGAATGACCAAAATACCCTCCATGCAAACACTAAATAACATTCTTGTCCCCACTTTCGTGGATTGGATCGGATTTCGATTCCAAAACGCCACCGAATATCACGACAATTACATTGCTGACCTGCCACTCCCAACGCCCAACCCAAACCTTCCATCATCACTTTATTACATCAATAAATAAGTATACATATATATTCTTCTCTTATATAAAATTATAATTAAAAATATTACTTTATTTTTAAAATAAGTTGATCGATTATCAACATTAGTTATTACGGGTAATAATAATTTATATTTTTTAATTAAGATATTTAGAGTTTAAATTCTTATATTGAATATGAAATTTTGTTAAAAATTGAGAGAAGAATACCCGTTTTATATATACAGTTTCTGAAAAAAATTAGTTATTATTTTTTATGATAGATACAAAAAAAAAATATAAATAAATCTATTCATCGAGAAAAAAATATATATACTTTTTTATTATATAAATAAAAACTGTTTTGCAGCCCAAAATATGCCCTTCAGTGTCTTGTTTTCTTCCCACATGAAGTTATCTTTATTATAAGTTGAAGGAAATATTAGAGTAAGCAAAAGTTATAAGAATTTTTATGTATGTAGATATACTGAATGTAACTTTGTAAATTATTGTTGTATTTCACTTTATAAATGAACTCATCATTCAATCATAGCTTGGCTGCTATTTTGATTGATTGAACAAATCGAATCGTGTTGTTCCTTGTTTGAAGTTTAAAATATTTACGACTCTTTAATTATAATAAAATAATCCAAAGAAAAAGAAAATGAAACTACGCATACATGACTCTTCTGCCACTATGATTTGTAGCAGATTTAATGGAATCATCTAAAGTTAGGAGATACGGATCATGAATTGTACGGAGAGTAAAATTTGTTTAAATATTTAAAATTAGTATTTAAAATAGTATTAACGAATTAACTGAGGTGAGTTTGTTTCAACTTAACAAGTATGTTAGAAAAAGAGACATATAATCTTAAGTCAAAAAATTTTTCTTAAAATAGATTTTTTTAACACTAATAATGTCATAATTTCTTAAAATAATCTTTTAACACTAATAACGTCGTAACAAAAGTTTAATTATATCACGTAATTGCTAAAAATGACAAAAAAAAAAAATTTAAAATTTGTGAAGGTCTTAGGAGTAAATGATGAACAATAGTAACTCTCTATCTTCAATCCACAACATGAAGTAAAACATAAAACTACTTGGATCAATTTACAACTAAAGAAGATATCAAACCTTGGACCTCAAGTCCTTATAAAAACAAAGATACAATAGTAAAACATCAAATTAATATTCATCAAAAAAGCAAACATCAAACTAACTGAAACTATTTACAATCAAGAAAGATCTACATTCTCAGTTTCAAGTCTTTATGACGATAAATAAAAAAATAAAAAAATAAAAACTAGAATACAACATTAAATTAGGAAAATTGGTCTACAACTTAAAAAAAAATCTCAAGTTAGAAAGGTACAATTTAGAAAGGTACACAATTCTCTATCTTAAATATTTATGAAAACTAAAAATCGGAAATAAAACATTAAAATGGATCGGATGGTCCACAACAGTCAACACACAAAGCTAAAATCATATTCATAAAAATTAAAATAGATTTAAGGCAAATAATTATATTAAAGTTATATTTTTTTATTACAAAAATGACATAAAACAAATTCAATTTATAAAGAAAAAGATAATAAGTGACTAACATAACTCCTGTTTAAGGCCCCCATTTCGGCCCAGAATCTTTTTATCTACCTTCCTCCCCATCACCAGCCTCTTCCATCCTTAAATTATAACTAAACAGAATCCAAATTAAATTAATTTTTATTTTACTTCCATTGAAACTAAATCCGCTGCATAATATTGTTATTCTAATTTTGATATATAAAAAGAATATCTCAAAAACATAATTAAAAAAAATAAGAATGGTTAGTTTCACTTCACCATAGATTTGGCGTACACAACCACAATACTCACTCCAAAACCGAAACGGCGATAAGTCCGAAGCAGCTTTCACTTTTGGTTTGCTTTTCGAACAGAAAAATTGACAGAAAGTAACGGAAAATTCGGAAGTGAATGATTCTCATTCTTCGGTCGCAAACAAGTAATAATAAAAAAAAAAAAAAAAAAATTTCGCCTTTACAGTGAG